TGCAAATCCTTGTGTATATGAAGCATTTCCCTCTTCATGACCAGAGTATAACAGCAGTTCCCCTGAAGCAAGTTTCAGTTGTCCAACCTGTGTCCAATGCGTTCTGCCGCAACTTGAAATAGTCTTCCAGTCTGCTACAACGTACGGAAGTTCCATGTACCTAAAAAAATATTTGCTCTGGTTGTCAGAAGAGACACGGGACCTGTGATTTCCGAAGGAACTCAGCCTTCATCACGAGACGTCATAATTGTTCTTCCAACTCCCAGGGCAGAGTTAAAATGGTTTGAATTATTTTTTCTGGTTAGCGTTTTTTAGCAAGTTAGATTTCGAAGGGATGGGGTTGCCAACACCATGTCCAACCCTCATCCTTTATCCGGGCTTGGGACAGGCAGTAGCCTCTAAGGTTCTACTGGCGGAGTTACAACAAGACTATCACATTCAATTTCTTGATTCAACTGGCTAGCAGAAATGAATCGTCAATAGATTACGCACTTTGTTTTAGGCGAGTTCCTTGTTAACCAATGTGGTTGTGAACTCCAAACTCAAACATATTTATATGTACAGGAATAATACTGATTGAAATCTAGAACGACTCTGAGTGAAGCTCAAACGTAAGTTTTCGACTCATTACCTCATACTAATTTCCAGTTTTATTGCGAAACCATAGAAGTCAAAACTTGATTGTTCGGAGATGACAATAAGTTATAAAGGAAATGAATAACTAGAGATTAGGAACAATCATTAAGGAAAATTGAAATTACTGTATAAATGCACAAGTTCAATTAATCAAAATTCACATGTGAATTCCAACAACATATCATAAATATATGCGTAACTTTTGAAGGCGCTTGATTAGCCGATTTGGAAGAAAACAATAAACATGATATTGTAGGCATGTCCAACTGAGCCTTCCAAAAATAGATCCATTTACAACAGTGCAATCAAAAGATTCACATCGAATAATGAATAAAGGGAAGGAATTCTATTGTTTTTCAGATCATGCATAAGCTGATCACTTTCTGAAATCACCGTATTTCGTAAACTAAATAGAACTCGATTATCTTCACACCTCCATACTATCCGTAATCAATTTTCACGCCAATAATTTTACACTTAATATATGAACTACTGTCTGTATTAGAAAGTAGTAAATAAGTATAGCGAAAATCATCATGAAACGATTGTTGGTCAAATGATCATTCACAAAATTTACCTACTAAACGAGAAAACCAGGTAATCTAATGCACACAGAATAACACGCAGTTAGTGTGCATTGGTTAACCATTTTAGGGAATTCGCTCAGCTTTGGTAATGAGATTTTGAAATTGTGGGAATTTGAGTATTGAATATGCAGATTGCTTGCCACAAAGCTAATTATCTAGATAATATTTTACAGAAAATGCAAGAAACTCTAGTTATAGATCACTGAAAGTGGACAGTGTTCACATTTTAGGTAAATATCATTAGGTGAATGCACGGTATTGAGGAACCTCACCGTTTGTCTTCCGTAATCACAATTTCACACCTGGTCAAACATGGAATTCACAAGGCTCACCAAATAACACAAACTGCAGGAGCTTTAGATACACAAAGATGCTGAATATTTGAGTGACACTGATTGTGAACACTTTCATAATTTGAAAATAGTTGAATTTAATTTTGCTTATGATATATATATATATATATGCCAGTGTCTGTCATCAACAGGTTTATCAGAGAAGTACATTAACCTGATAAAAGCTCTCCACTCAAACAACACTGGTCGTGTCAGAGTCTATGGCAAACTGTCATTAGAATTCTTTACTTCAAGTGGTGTCTGTCAGAGCTGACCACTTTCCCGATTCTTTTATAACTTTTTCAGGGGTGGACCTTCTACCAGAAAGATCGCCTATTGACCTAGAATATGCCGATGATATAGTCCTACTTGGTGAAGACGCTGACAAAATTCAGAGTCTTTTGTCTACCATAAGCAACAATGCAAGCATGTTCGGGATGCGGTTCTCACCCTCGAAATGCAAAATGTTGCTAGAAGATTGGCTTTTGTCGGCACCTGAACTAGCGATAGGGAGGGAAGTGGTCGAGCGTGTAGACCGCTTGACTTATCTCGGGAGTTTCATTAGCGCTGATGACCAAATCTCAGCACGGATACAGAAGGCTTGATTGGCTTTTGCCAAGTTGCGTCACTTATGGAGAAGGCGAGATACCCGTTTGCTAACCAAAGGTCGAGTGTACTGCGCAGCAGTTCTCTCTGTTCTCCTACACGGATGCGAAACATGGCCAGTAAGAGTAGAAGATAATCGTAGGTTACTAGTACTCGATCACAGATGTCTTAGAACCATTGTTCGTGTATTGTTGGACAATCGAGTAAGCAGTACTGTCATTAACAAGCGAGTATTAAGTAACAATGGCAGATTAATTGATGAAGTATTGAAAATTCATCAGTTGGTGTGGTTGTGAAATGTGTTACGAATGCCCAACCACCGAATGCCTGGACGAGCTTTGTTTTGTGGTGAAGGAGTAGGTTGGGAGAAAGCTAGGGGTGGCCATACCAAAGCATGGCACAAATGCATGAAGTTACTGATAGGAGCACCAGGTCATGCTGGTAGGTGTAGGCAGCCTGGTTGGTGTCCACGAGACGAAAGTGACAGATCGTTAGAGATCTTGGATGATATGTCTCAAAAATATACCCGATTTGAAATCCAATTCTGCACCTAGGGTTCAATGTGTGACATTGTAAATTGTTGACATTTCTATCTAAGACTCTTCTTTACACACATCAAGCAAGATGGTCCTTACTTCCTCCGAATTAGCGATCAATTTATTTAATTTAACACTACACCTGAAAAAACCGAACAGTGGTTCCAGTTTTCTATTCGGTGTCTAACAACTTTCGATTAACAAGGTTAGTAGAAAATAACAATCTCCATAACTCTAATTAAAGTGATACATTCTGTTATATTATTCAACACTCTTTCTCTCACATGCAGTATCAAAATGAATTCACAATATTTTGAAATGTTTTATACAATTAATATTGTTGTAGAACAATACGCTTTTTTAATATTTAATGAATAATTTCACTCTCTTTCTCTTCGCCATGTTTATTTATTCCATGTGACATGTACCCATTTGATTGTTTTCCAACTTATGACAAATGAAACGTACTTTACATTCGCCTATTCGTACATCAGTTTCAAATGATTGGCTAAGTACATTAATAACAGTATAAACAGCAATGTCGAATTCCGGAGAAGATCCAATGAAAATGGTCCCGATCGGTTTCTTAAATTTATTTTCATCGACATATGTTACACTGATGAGGTGTTCATTACATGACTGCAGTGAAAAATGTTCCATAAACACACAAGAGCAAAAGTCAAACGTCATTGTCAAATTAATACAGAAACGTTTTAAATATTGACTAACAACTGGTGAAAGTAAAAGTTGGTCGTGGTTCATTCACTAACCGATCTCCATAAAAGAAATGGTCCAACAGCGATTCTGTGTCTTGGTTTTACGTTAGTAAAATAGAGAATAAGTTGTTTGTCTTCACACAACACAAGTTCGTTTGTTAATTTCACAAGTGTGTCATTCCATGAACGAGTTTTAAGTGATTTCGAACATCGATTTGTACCAAACTTATCACTAAATATTCCTACCATCTATCAACTGGAAGTTGTAGGAAACAGTTTTCAACATTACGTAGAGCTGTGAAGAACCTTGTAATAGTCAATTGTGAGGCTTTGACATTATCAAATTTAAGTTCGTATATTCTCATAGCATTCTACATAGTGTGTTAAATTATACTTAACTTGACGAATCTCTTTATTTATTGCGAATAGTGATAGATATAAACTTGATCGGGGACGAAAATATCTTTGCTGCTGGTCCCAAGTCTTTACGAAGGAGGAAGATCGGACATGAGGTAAGCAGCCCATTCCTGTAGAAAACAAATTTGCAAAAGTAGGCTAAACCAAACAGTTATTCAAATCATTTAAACTCTGAATTTGCAGTTTAAGTTATCGAACTTGTTACTAGTTATTCCTACCATCTATCAACTGGAAGTTGTAGGAAACAGTTTTCAACATTACGTAGAGCTGTGAAGACCCTTTTAATAGTCGATTGTAGGGCTTCTATATTATAAAATTTGCGTTGGTGTATTACGGTTTTAATATACATGGAGTGGGCATATCACTAAATATTCCTTTTAGAATACATGCTCCTTTCCTTTTCTGCTTCTCATAAATACATGCATCCTTATGTCTGTCAGTCTACAGCAACAGAGAACTTCGTACGTACGCACATCACTTCAAGTTGCCATACCACATTACCACAGAGATGCAATTGTCACTTCAAATCTCATAGTAGTAGAAGTATTAGAAGTATTAGCAGTAATTTAATATTTCAGGGTTCGAAGATATCATCCAAGAAGTAAAAATTAGTGAAACAAACTTGAAAGTAAAAGACAAAGATGATGAATAAATTAGAAGGTTAGTATTTAAGGGAACACAAAGAATGAATGCACCTGATCCATTGCAAACAGCTTTGAGATATTTCATTTAGATTCTCTAACCATCGATCGCTATTAACTCGCAGGCCCCAAACAGGTAATCAACACCTAGAGCGTGACTCATTCCTGCTGTCAGTGACTTCATTGATTTGTGCAATGTTTAGGCTTGCCTGCCCCTAGCTTTCTTCCAACACATACCCACATCAAAGGGAGAGGAAGTAACATTTGCGCACAAACCCGTAAAAGCACACGGAATCCTTAAAGGAAAAATAAAAGAGATAAAGCAAACAACATAGTCTCACGAGAATCGCTGAAAAACACCAACCGGATAAATTACACTTAGAAACAATGCGGGAATAGAGAGGAGGAAGGAGTAGTTCAGAGAATCATGGGCAGCGTCATATGCTCCATGAGGGTTACTAGGTGAATTCACGCGAATGCAAGTAATGAAATATATACACAAATACTAAATGATCCAAAAACATCTTACGTTCTTCTTCCATCCAAAATAATTTATATCATTCTTCTTTTCTTTCAAATAAAATTGAATCCAGTTATGTAATCCAAGCATTTTCGTAGTCTTATGTTCGCCAACAAACACATGTTCGAAAGCAGATGAATCTTCAAAACTGCACGTTATTCATTGCATTGTTTCATTGATTAATTGGTGTTTCAAGAGGATTTGATCACCATTCGTTGTACGGAGAGTTCACAGACCATAAAATGTAAACAAATCATAAACAGAAAGTGAATATACCCAGGTAGAAAATAATTTCTGGTTACTACTCAAATGAACATCTACTCAGACTGATCAATTACTACTAATCCAAACTAGTCGAATGTGGAAACAGTAAATATGTTATCTCTTTGTCACCTGAGAACGATATATTGTGGTGCTGTGGTGCGAACTACTTATAAGTAGTATATAACGTGAGTGTCAACGTAAAGTCTGGTAGCATAATATGGGGGGAAGATCAAGAAAGGAAGAGTTAGAAAACAATGGAATTTGGATGAAACGCATGAATAGTGACATTGGATTGATGTTTGGCAACAGGAACAGTTCAGTTCCATAGGATGAACTGATCTTTTGCAAATTAACTATTTACGATATGGTTTTCCGATTTTACTGAGTAACTGTAATTTTCGTTAAATACAATTCGGTTGCCCCCACCTGTGTTCTCATTCACTACAATATGACAAATGTTAGTGTGCATAAGTTTGTTTATAATGGTGTGCATTTCAAATTAACAAGCTGAAAATAAATCACCTGCTAATGAAAAGAGAACACACAATAAATGAAAATGTTTATTGTCTATCCATAAATTCCATCGTTTGTCGTGAACCACAATGGACTATTCCAATGGTCTTAATGAAAGCACTGAGACAACAACTCAAATACAAGAAGAGTTTTCTGTTGAACAATATATTTCTGACAAATGAGTATTGTTGACAAACTATGACAAACACAATTTTCGCTTCCTTCATACTCTGTACTAATCAAGCTTTAAGTAAACACAGTCAGATGTAAAACAAGACTTGATTAGCTCAGAAATGTAAACGTTTGAAACAGTAAGCATTAAAATGTCCTACGACAGAGAACAGTAATTTGAGGTAGTTAAGATGAGCATACATTCACTTTCAATGCCACTGATTTTCAAATCAACTGCCATTGATGAGTAGTTTGAAAGTGCATGTTGAATTCCACCAATGTCGTAATGTTTCAGAGCTATCTATTGACTAAACTAGCGAAGATTCATGTAAGTGAGATCTATTCTCGTATTGCATTAGTAGGACTTGCTCGAATATTATAATCATTTTGCATCAGATAAACACACACTGAAATCAGCAACTACGTTTTGGAAAACTGAATCGAATCAGACACAACATACACAAAATTTATTGTGATCATGTGACAATCAATGAAACAATGGTAACTGGAATATTTTCTGACCCCATCAACCATTTAACACTGAACACATGTTAAATAGTTTACGCTGATAGAGGGATTCCAGTTCCAATTAGAAATTTTCTGCATACTTTGTGTTTTCTGATAGTGCTGTAAAGGATATTCCGTTGAAAATGTTATTTGAAAATAACTCATCATTTTCAAATACAATCTGTGGAGTTCAAACATCATGAGAGTGCTATTCACATCAAATTCAGATGCTCTAACTCAATCTCATGTTGAAAATGAATTCAAGAAATACCGTCTGAATAAGCTTAGTTTCCCAGTGTATGAGAGAAATAAATTTGAATACAGATTCACATCCATACCGAAATCATGACCATTGGAAATCTCATGAATCTGAGAAACTTTTCGATTTCAACTCTCATCTAACTTTTGAACTTCCAGTGACACATCACGTTCGCGTAACATGTGGGTCTTTGATTCGATTAGGTAGAAATTAGTGACTGAAAAGTGATATACAACGATGTTTGTTAATATTGTTTGATAAGATAATACCAAGTAGTGAAAGAGGTTGCTAAACTCAAATTTGTCACCAGTGCTCACTTCATCATGTCGAGCCAACTCATCTGATCGAGTTGTTAACATTCTCCCTCTCTCTAAATTTATCAGTCTACGTCTTATAACACCAAACTTACGCGCCACGGTTATATCGTTTGAACCACAACTCCTTCAAGTATTCTCCAAAATTTTTGTAATCTCCAATCATATTTCTTTTTCCTCTTCTAACAAGATATTCGTGAGTCATTTTCATTATTTTCGTCTTCAGTAATTCTTTGATAAAATCATCCTCTTCTCTCAGTTGTTGTTCTGTGGGTTTTTCAGTGACACCAACTTGTGGATTGTAGTTGTCCAGTAGTGCAATGAACTCTACAGTGTAAATATAATTTCAAATTCAAGCTTCAATCATCTGAAATCTGTTTAATTATTGGTATGATTTATCATATAATGCTACACCAGACTATGTACATCGCAGAACCTGTGTATTGAATGAACGTGGTTATCAGAATGACGCATTTGCAGTGAGACGCGAACGTCATACAACACATGTTTTATGATACAAGCAATAAACGAAATGCTTCAGTATTTCAAAGAGTAAATTCGGAACTTGTGACTGTGTTGAGTGAATCAGAGTCGGAACTTCCTTCAAAGTTTGCCAAAAGTTTCGAAATTAAACCTGACACTCGTAAGATAGTTTCCGTTTTTCTCTAATCTACATATGAAGGGACACGTTTTGTGATGTGTCTGTGTGAAAAGACAATCAGTGACGCCCATCGATATAGTAAATGAAATTTAGGACTTTCACTACGCTTCTGAAGAATGGGTGACATCATTCACTTGATTAACGTATGGTTTAATACATTAGAGACATTTAGACATTTGGTTTATACAACGTATAAGTGATATGGTATGGAAATCGTAAGGTAGTATCAGTTTGCTCACAATTAAAGGTACGAGTGGCAGATGAGTGCGAAAATGCACGAAATACATTACAGACAGTTTCTCCACTCGATCATCTAAGACCGACACCGTAAATCAGACGATGCATCCTAAATGAAATAAGACATTATCAGGTTGTGAAATAGATTACTAAACTCTAATTTGTGACCAGTTCTCAATTCATCATGGCTAGCCAACTCATTTGATCGATTTATTGACTTTCTATCTCTCAATTAATCAATCTACGTCCAACAACTCTAAACTCACGCGCTACGTTTATATCATTTGAACCACGAGAACTTCAAATATTCTCCAGACTCATTGATACGTCTTGGTATATTATGGTTAGAAAAAATCCATTACATCCATCTGATTACAAAGGATTTTTAAATAATTTAATGATACATTTTATCGCAAACCTTCAATGTTCGTATTCGTGATCTAATGATTGATCATTCAATGTCAATCTTCACCCAGTTTCTAGAATGATTCAAGTGTTCATCTGAAGCCATCTAAGATATGTTACGTGAGCATAATTATATCGGTGGATTCCGAAACTCATTGTTCTTATCACATAAGGTGTAACAAACTAACATTTCTCAATTTAAAATATCTGTTCATTTTGTGTGTTTATTACTGCTTATTTACATTTCTGCATTTCGTGTTAGAATTGTTCAGGTGTAATGTGTATTTGAAAATAGACCATCAGTGAAACGATGCTTAAGGAGAACATAAATTATTGTGTATGTATTATGGATAAGAGCGAATTGTAGTAAGGAGTAAAATAGTGTTAACATCAAGCTTTCGAATATATTATACAAGTGAGATTTAACTGCTCTGTAATTTCTATATTCTAACCAATTAGAAACTTGTTGATGAAAGATTGGAATTATGAACAGACTGCAACTACAAACTGTTCCTCTTGTTCGGGAGGTTTCCGATTGTAACAATCAACCAAGTTCATCATAATTTTGTGAAATATGACTTTTTTATCCACAGCATCATGGCATTTTAAATTGCAGCGTTCTTTCGAAATCCGATAATCGGAAGTGTTGGATGAATTAATTGTCTGCTATTCAGCCTATTATTGTGTCACAACTCAGTGAAGTGAATTATAATTGTGATCTCATTAACACGGATTCGATCCACTATTTGGCAGTGGACCAAATTGTCATAAAATTTTGTCACAGCAGTTAAACAGTCACAAAAGATCTATATAATACAATAATGAAACAAATATCTTACTTGTAAATGTTGGTCTGTTCTGGAATAGACTTTCATCGACAAACTCGAACAATGGATCGGGCGACAGGTCAATGAACGAATTGGCGCCGTTCAGATGTGCTAATTAAAGTAGGAAAACCAAAATCAGTCAGTTAAGTGGTCATAACCAATTGATGTCTATTGATAAGTTCTACTTAGTATTTAACTCAGTACCACTTCCACTTTCATAAAAAACATGTGACTACTCTGAATCGGTCAGTGACAATGATTCTCAGATAAACAAGTACAGTATATTCTGAATATCTTGGTTTGCTTGTTATTCGTGTTAGATTACTTATTTGTCAAAAGACTTATCAGTTGTAATACATTGTAAACACTTTCAAGTTTCGAAAAATACAACTCATTATTCACATTCTTAAGTTTTCAGACAAATTAGATCAAAATAAATTTTTAGATTACAATTATCTTCTACTATCGAAATCATAAATTCTTTCGAAATCGAAAATTCATTCAACAACTTAGTTAACTACTCGCATAATTCCTCACAGTAGAAACCATGTAATTCTATCATTTGATATGTTGACTAGCAATAAATACGATAGTTACACAGTTATTATAGTTCTGAGTAATGTTCATGCGTCTACAATTTATCAGTGTTCATTAGTGTCCTCCCACCACACACTGACACCAATATTTACTTACGTACTTACGCCTGTTAACCCCAATGGAGCATAGGCCCCCTACCAGTTTTCTCCAACCAACTCTGTCCCGGGCTTCCTTCTCCATTTCTGTCCAAATTTTGTTCATTCTTGTCACATATTTCTCTATTTCTCGGCGTAATGTGTTCCTTGGCCTTCCTCTTTTCCTTTTGCCTTGAGGGTTCCAAGTGAGGGCTTGTCTTGTGACGCAATTAGGTGCTTTTCGTAGTGTGTGTCCTATCCACTTCCACCGCTTCTTCCTGATTTCCTCCTCCACTGGAATCTGACTTGTTCTCTCCCACAGTTCGTTGTTGCTGATGGTGTCTGGCCAACGAATACGAAGTATTTTGCGTAGACAACTGATAGTAAACACTTGTATCTTCTGGATGATGGCTTCCGCAGTTCTCCCGGTTTCCGCTCCATACAATAGAACTGTCTTGACATTTTGGTTTTGGCTGAAAGTTTTATGGAGTTCCAGAAGTTTTTCATCTGTAGAAATGCAGCCCTTGCTTTGCAAATCCGCGCCCTCACATCTGTATCGGATACTGATACCGAGCACCTCGAGGTTGTATCTTTTCAGTTCTGCCGCAACTTGAAATAGTCCTCCACTCTGCTACAACGTACGGACGTTCCATGTACCTAAATAAATGGTTGCTCTGGTTGTCAGAAGAGGCATCGACCCCGTGACTTCCGAGGGAACTCGGCTTTCATCACGCGACGTCATAATTGTTCTTCCAACTCCCAGGGCAGAGTTAAAATGGTTTGAATTAGTTTTTCTGGTTAGCGTTTTTTTGGCGAGTTAATTTTTGACGGAATGGGGTCGCCAACCCCATGTCCAACCCTCCTGCTTTAGCCGGGCTTCGGACCGGCAGTAGACCCGAAAGTTCTACTGGCGGAGTTACTGACACCAATAGGCACTCACAATTTGATCAGACATAGGAACACTAAAAGTCTGAATGATGATAGAAAGATAAAACATTTGATGATTTATTGTTAAATCTCCTAGTTTACTTCAATATTGAACATAATCAATAAACGTTGTGTCATGTTCGTCACTAAGTATGCTTAAAACTATTACGAGTTCACCTTAGTCGATAAAAAGCGAACGACACAATTACCAGCGTCCAGATATGCTACCTTGAATCCTGAGCTGTAGACCGAAGTCTTTGCAAGCGTAGAAAGTATATTCTACAAACACCCAGCATTCAAGTTCACAAATCTCGTTTATTTATACATCATAGAAATGTACTTGGGGCAGTTACGAAAATAGCATACTGAAATACACAGCAGCCATGGATTTTCCTGGTGGGAAATGACATCTCAAGATCAACTGATCAGCCCATGCTCACAAACTTGAAATCCAAAATAAGGCGTTTATCAAGTGAGTTCTGTGGATCTAACACCCCCAACACCGTGCATTATATCGATAATGAGTCGATGATTTATGATAGCAATATATGAATGTTAACTGAACTTCTCATTCATATTTGCAGTGAGTAACTTCGATATCTGGATTTTGAAAACAATGTCCCGTGAAATGCACTTCTAGAATGTACTTAGTCGAATTCTCACGAAAAATCGTCACTAAAAGTGTGAGGTACAATTTATTGTCACATATTATTCACTTGATCATATCAATGCATTAATTAATCACCCGTGTACATGTGTCGTGATATTACTGGTGATCATATTTCACATAGTCAGTGTTCTTCAAATAGTCAGTGCGAAACTACTGACTTGAACGCCGCTTGGTTAACAACCCGTTGGCGTAGAAAACAACCTTGCGAATAAGTCACTCAACAAACCATTATTCAAACCAAATAAACTCTGAACGATTACTTAATGAGTCTTCATTTTGATAAGTTATGTCATATCATGGTGAAGTCTGATTTTTGTCAGAAGTCATATAACTGATCTCTTTTTTCTGACAATAGTGCAACTATAATTATAGGAAGATGACGAGTTCGCAAAATGCGGAAAACCGGAGGAACCATTCAACTTGTTTCGCAAAGATAATACACAACCTGGTGGTACGTGGAATTAGCGAAACACATTTCACTGTGGTTCGACAAAAAGACTAGATGTCAGTGTTCGTCTCAGTATAATCGGCACAGAATACATAGCTGATGAATTGGTGAAACAAACAACAATACTATATCTCACATGGAAAATACCATCTGACTTGTTGCAAAAGTATTAATTACATGAACACAGAATAAGGAAAATTACCTTGTAAATTGAGTTTGTAATCTATACCTGGTCGAAATGCATTTTCATCTGCTTCGTACAATTTCGTCAAAAATTCACTCAGATCATTAAGTTCTGTGGACGATTTACTGTGATTCGTGAACCAACCGACCAGAACAAGTTGTCAACAATGAAACATGAAAATCAGCAATCAAATCGATTTGAAACGAGATTGAAATATGTGAGAGATGATTAATTTTACTGAAACAAGATTCAAGGCTATCGTCATCTATCAAGGCCTATTTCTTATTTCTTATTTCAGATGATTTACTTGTGTTTGCTACTGCAAACTGTTATCAGCCATTTTGTTCATGGTTTCTAACGATAGGTGACTTTCGTCTCACGGATCCCAACCAGGTAGCCTACCAACATGACTCAGTCCACTTGTCAGTGATTTCATGTATTTCTGCCGTGTTTTGTTTTGGCCGCTCCTAGCTTTCTCCCAACCTACTCTTATGCCACAAAACATATCTTGTCGAGGCAGTCTGTGGTTAGGCATACGTAACACATGTCCCTAACACCCCAACTGATGAGGTTTCAATATATTCTTTAGTATGTAGCTGTGAAGACTGTTGAGTTATAGTTAGTTCACGAAATACGGTGATTTCAGAAAGTGACCAGCTTATCGATAGTCTGACAATCAATCCTCTCCTCATTTCATACATCATCATGAAAACGTGTGTGTCTTAATGACGATTTATTACATTTCGACCATTAGGCATAATACTTCTTGATAGCCTACTGCTGTGTAGACTTGTTTATTCACACACGGTAAACCAGTTTATCAATACGAGAGTATTTACATGTCAATGCTGTGAACACTAAATGTTGCTTGATCGGCTAATCAATGAAACAAGTTTCATTATAGGGTCGTGACCAGTGGAGTTGAAACGTGTTCGCGTGTGAAGAACTGTTCACACAAGATAATGGATGAGGTTGCACAATACGGTGTGTACAATTAAGTAAGCAGCCATTGTCAAGTACGCTTAATAAATAAAACCCTGCAACGTATAATGTTCATTTCAGCAGGAAACAATATTATTTATTAGATTAAACAAACCTGAATAACGCTTCTTAATTAAACAATAAGGTTTACTTTGACATACTGCATTGATTCAATCAGTATTACAACAGATGCGATTGATCACAGAGATATTCGGTCCATACTCTCAAAAAAATCATTATCAAAGTACACATCCTCTTATAAGAGATCGTTTTGTAATGATGGATTTATTGTTGCTTATACGTCATTATTTTTCACTCAGATATTAAATATTGATTAGTCACAAGTGTAAACGTTAGTTCTGTAACTTCAAATACATGGACTTTTACCAATGAGATAATGACTAGGAACAACTGATTAGGATTTCTGTTTAATTTCCCAATGTCACACAACTATTCAACATACACACATTTGTAACATTGCTAAGTAGTTTCAAATAATTAAAATTGACTTTCGATTGTGCTCTTTTTTCATATGATGGTGTCGGGCCAACGGATCCAGAGTATTTTGTGTGAACGACCGTTAAGAAACACATTCATCTTGTGGATGATGGATTCCAAAATTCTACACTTTTCCGGTCCAAACAGTAGAACTGTTTCAACAATCTTAATGAAAATTATGACTTCGGTGTTGGTTGATAGTTATTTTGAATACCGGATATTGTTCAATCGTGGAAATACTTCACTTGCTTTGCTAATCCGTGTCTTAACATGTGCATCAGATGTACCTTGTTTACTGACGATACTGATGACGTATGTGACAATTTCTACATGTTATACAGCTTGTCAATCAAGTGTGTATGTAGGTTGATGCATGTTGTATTGTAGAGACTTGAGAATTACAAGTACAGCGACAGCTGTCATTTAGTCTGTCTTCATCTACTTTTTTTGTTGTGTGTGGGATAGACGAGCCCGATCATCTGCACCTAAGCTACCTTCTCTGAGAAAACTTATACAAATGCAGGAATTCGCCATCATTAGAGACTGGGTGGTTTGTTCGTTCAATAAAAATTGGGTTTACAATAAACACTGAAAATTTTCTGCTAACAAGTGCGTTTTCAATAGAACATATAATGTATTGGTCACAGGGTAACAACAAAATCACATAATTCAGGAAAACTTAAACTGATAAATTAAGTTACAGTAATTTGAACTGAACGTGTACAAAACCGTATAAATAATCACTTATTTCATACAAAATCTACAATTCTACTAATTTGCCTGGTTTATTGGTCTTCACATATACAATGTTGTTTTCTTTTATTAAAACTATCTCTGATCTTTTCATTATTTTCTATTGACAATAATGATTGAAGTTAGTTAGTTAGTCTAATTAATACGCTTTTTTTATTATTGATATCATTTATGAATAGTTAACAAAAAATTTGTTTAAACAACTCTAAAAAAACGATTGAGTTTTTTCTTGGCAGCAGAATTCAACCTTGAGATCAAAGTAACAAAACAAGTTCAACTACATAGTTTCAAGATATTTTTTATGAACTAGACATATCGATTGTAACGTATGATGTAGAGACTTTAATTATGCTGAAGAAAAATTCAATAAGTAAAGGAAGTATAAATAGAAATTTTGATTGTACATAAAGTTGAAAAGATTGTGACTGATTCAAACCAGTAGTAATCCGTCGATGTAACTAACATTCATTTCATGTATCAGTGAGAAATGACAAACATGTACAATATTAAGTAGATTACTCTGACTCAGACAAGCCCACAAGAATCTATATATAGTCTCATATACACAATCACCTCCGAGAAATTATGCAATGCTTCAGAGTTGATTGTAAAACTGTCACAGTCAATCGATGTACTACCGATTGCATAAGAAGAAATGAACATAATCTAGAAAGATAACCAATCACAGGCTACAATCCCCGTAATTCAATTGCTTCTGTGTTTTCGCAACTTTTCCTTACTCGTAACATTGGTTTTAATTTATGAATATCTGTTTTATTGAAAACTGTCACTAGAATTGTTCAATATAATCGGATGTTCTTTATTATCACGTATTATGTTACATGACTTAACTCGTCGATAGAAGTGTGTGTGTCCTTAGCTCATTCGTTTCTCAAAACTTAAATGTTATTTCTAGCCGACTGACTGTATAGCACAATCTAATATATTAAAATTAAAACAAATTTCAGTGGAAAATCAGATATATTATCCAATACATCCAAAAGTCTAAAAATATACATTTTGGCTTACCAAACATTAAAACAGCATAGAAAGTCGAACATAGTGTTTCCAATATAGACCTTCAGGAATCTGACAATAGTATAAAGTGATGAAGATTTTGGTGAAAAATAAGAAAACTACTAAGAACAAATTGATTACAATAATTATAAAATGCGCCAATCAGAAGTCGGAAAATGATAAATGCACATGATTGATTAATGAACAGCTATAATTTCTAGAGGATGAAACATGCATCACAGGTGGCTTGAATTTCTAAAACTATATATATACATACAGCAAACGCATATGTCGATTACGTAAATCAATCTTCACTCGTGAGTACCCAGTTCCACTCATGTTAAGCAAAATGGCATATCAGTATCAACAACACATCATGACATTTTTCTGGAAGGGGAACGTCAAATCTATCCAGCATAATTCACTACTGTCAATTTCAGTAGTTTAAAACTCCCCATAAATATTCTTTGTTTTTAAGGGTCAATTTTACGAGAATCGCCATCATTTTTATATCAGCCTAATCAGGAAAAATTTCAGGAGTCGCAGTTAAGACTTAGCTGAACGATGTTTCAAAAACCTTCAGTCCAAGCAAATATTGGTACGTGTCCCAGTTCATCAGATCAATTACCAAATCTTTGATGAATTTGATCAGTGAGTTCCATTTTTATGTTGACGCAGTTGTCACATCTAAAGCTTGTCCCGAGTGATAATAATGACAAAAATATAAGGTATTATGAAAAGGATTTCTACAAAGAGTGGGTCGCTAACCCCACTTCCAACCCGCTTCATTTATCCAGGCTTGAGAGTCACATTAGCTCCAGAGGTACTCAAGGCGAAGTTTTGGTTGTAAATTAGGGTTCTTGAACTACCCTTATTAGATTCATCATAGTCATCAACCTTTTAAAAGCGTCAGACAATTGATTTTTATCCTCTTATTCTGTAGTAGTTGTAAACGTTGTTTGTATGACTAACTCTTACTAATAATTTGATAACTAAGAATGACTGATTAAGATTTCTATCTAATCTTCCATTTTCATACAGTTATTCAACATATGTACTACATTTGTGATATTACATTTGAAGTTTCAAATAGTCAGGATTAATTTTTTACTGAGTCAAATTTTCCATTTCACACCCTGTCTTTAAATAGTATTTCGATGAATGATATATTGAACCTTATGCTCACTTACTTATTTACTCAATCACGCATGTTTCCACATAGGGAGCCTAGGCCACCTAACAGTATTCTCCAAACTACTCCAACCTGCACCTACCTTTCCGGTTCCATTCAATCGCTATTTATTCCTCTCATGTCTTTCTACAATTCTCGGCACAGTATTTTCTTTGGCCTGTCTCATTTCTTTCGGACTTGAACATTCCAAGTAAGGGCTTGTCTCTTAATGCAGTTGAGATATTTTTGCAACGTGTGTCCTATTCATCTCTAACGCATTTTCTCAACTTCTTTTTCATTGGTAATCAGGTTTGTTCATTCCCTTACTAGGCTATTGGTGATTGTGTCTGGCCAACGGATCCAGAGTATTTTGTGTAAACAACTGTTAAGAAACACATTCATCTTGTGGATGATGGATTCCAAAATTCTACACTTTTCCGGTCCAAACAGTAGAACTGTTTCAACAATCTTAATGAAAATTATGACTTCGGTGTTGGTTGATAGTTATTTTGAATACCGGATATTGTTCAATCGTGGAAATACTTCACTTGCTTTGCTAATCCGTGTCTTAACATGTGCATCAGATGTACCTTGTTTACTGACGATACTGATGACTTATGTGACAATTTCTACATGTTATACAGCTTGTCAATCAAGTGTGTATGTAGGTTGATGCATGTTGTATTGTAGAGACTTGAGAATTACAAGTACAGCGACAGCTGTCATTTAGTCTATGTTGATGCATGTTGTGTTCTAGAGAGGATCCTACTTTACATTTTCTGTGTGATGAGTCTTACAGGTAAAGAGGCTGATGTCAGATAGGCTGTATTCATACGCGATTGTTGCTTTTTCTGAGGATGAAGCACAAGAAAATTTATAGTAGATGTCTATTAACAGAATATTTTATATCAAGTTACAATGTGGCTGCAAAACCAGTTTAATTCAAACAGTATTTTCGATCGGTCTGTCTGATAAATTATTGGTTTCTTTTTAAATTATTTTTGAGTAAACATCTAGTTTCATGTGTTTGTGTGGTCGCTAAATAAATTACAAATAAAATTACACCTATGCAATATCTTATTCACACATGTGAATCAATTATTCTGTGTATCTAATTTAAGAGAATAAAAGCAAATTGGAATACTTAATCATGCGTATTTAATAAGTAGATTAGACTACATAAAACTATACATATATAACAATAATAATGATTATAATGTCTTCAATCAACATTAGATATTTATTAAAATATGAAATTCCTAGCACGCAACATTTCAACAAGTTTCCTTTACAAAACGTGTAATAATCGACAGTTGGAAGTATACAATTCAAAAACGGAGACACACTATTAACGTTCATTATTTTTTTCTCAACCGACTATCGAACATTGAGATATGTGGGATTGTACTTACCGGATTTCGTGAAGAGATAGTTCTTCAATTTAATATACCCACTTGAATACATTATGCGACTAATATCATTATATAATTGATTTGTAAAAAACTAACTGCTTGGATAGCCATCGAGAAGCCACCCGCGCCCACAGTCGATTGACGAACTTATCGATTAAATGTTTAAATATTCAAAAGCAGTCGATCGATGAAGTTATCGTTTAAATGTTTAAAAACTCCCATGGAAATATCGATCTTATATACACATGCTTTTTTGTATATTTTTGGATTTTGTCAATAAGTGCTCTCCGACGTCTTTTGTCTTTTTATTTTACCAATGGTGTGGAGGTTCTAACGTTCGGGTGTTGTCATATATACAGTGGTTTTGGCGTTACTCAAGTAGAGAACCTAAATGACACTGACAAATTAAAATAGGTAACTAGTTGAAATATTTCAATGTTCGAAAACAGGTAACCCAGAAGATATTCAAACGGATCTCTCGTAATGGATATAACAAATTTTCAGTTGCAAAAAAATTACTGTTATGCAATATTTTGCATTCCTAACTATCGATATTCATTATTTACACATTGTCATCTCTTTTTATTATATATAAATATATATATGGAGAACAATTTATGGAGTTCCATGTTGATTAGTTAATTTTTAGATACTCAATACAAAATATTTTCAAAGAATTTTATACCATAATTTTTAGGTCAAATAGTTAAATAAGCTGATTGTGCACATTCCCAACCAACATATTTTATAGTAGTTTAATGAAAATTCGGATTGTAACTGTCTAATTTCGGATATGTAGACATTTCCGTTTGATGAATAATTCGATAAACCCAAGTCCAGAAATGTGATCTTTTTTATTTATTTTGTTTTTTTTTTTGTTAAAAAAATCTATCAGGTAGATATGAAATTGTTTGATATTCTCATCAATAACAACTACTTCCTCCAAAGAAATCCAATCTAATCTACATGTTAACACGTGATCGTCATTAAATGTTGAGGACAAATTCTATCTTGTCTGTTTTTGTCAGTCCTTTTACGCTCAATAAATACGTATTGTACGTTGCATTTTAAAGATTAGTGATTATGTTTAAACAATAATAACCTAACGAGTGAGTGTGAAATCTTACTTGGTTATTAATGATCTTAGACACTATTATGGTGGCAACTATTGGAATCACTTGGTTATTTACTGCTTTCACCTCCCCGCCTGGCGGAGCATAGGCCGCCCACCAGTATTCTTCAAACTACACTGTCCAATTTTCGTTCATTCTTCTTATGTCTTCCTCTATTTCTCGGCGTAATTCGTTCCTTGGTCTTCTCCTTTTCATTTTTATTTGAGGGTTCCAATTGAGGGCAGGTTTTGTGACGCAGTAAGGTTTTTTCCCTAATATGTGTCCTATCCACTTCCGGTGTTTCTTGTTCCGTTGGGATCTGGTTTGTTCTCTGCCCACAGTAGGTTATTGCTAATGATTTCTGGCCATTGGATCAGAAAAGTAAAGGATCAGTTATGTGTGTTTTCCTGTAAACTTTAACATTTTAATTAGTTGTTCGACTAACAAGATCTATAATTCTAGTCTTCGATACAATCTAAACTCAAACATTTTTCCCCAGATCTCAACAGCTACTGTTCATCTGCTTTTTTTTTAATTAAATTCCGATAGAACCGATTTAGTTGTGATTAGATACTAATTAGAAGTTTTGTAATTTGTTTTAACTTACTTAGTCACAAAAAAAAATTGTCTCAACCGATTTCACTTGTTTGAAGTCTAAAATTTTCAATGAGGCAAATCTTGATTATCGGTGGATAAAAATTGAGTATTATTAGTAGGTGATTTGTTCAATATTAAATCGTTCGAAAATGTTTATTCGAACTCGATAATTTGAATATCTGATCGATAAGTTATCTTGAAAAATATGAAACAAAAAAGAAACTAATTTCTCCTGATAATGATAATAATAATAATAATAATAATAATAATAATAATAATCAATCATTGTTAGACCATCATTAGAAAACTAGAAGCACTGGACGGCCGTTTCGTCCTGGTATGGGACTCATCAGCAGTGCGCATCCACGACTCCTGCTCCTCGCGGGATGAGAACCCGGGACCTTCGGCATTGTAGGCGAACGCCTTATCATCGTAACAGTGCTCACTAGTGACTAGTTTCGTGAGGAAATTCTCGGAGTTCTAGTTGAGAAGACGTGACCAATGGAGTTCAACCCTGTCGAGTGTAGGCAGTAACTACCAAAGACAAATGGGTGAGGTCGCGCAAAATCCCTAGGTCAATCAGAGTTAGACATTAACACAGTTGCATGCCGACCCAGTCATCCGATGGTTAGGTGTTCGTGAACAGTACCGAAGGTCCCGGGTTCGAATCCTGCTAAGAGCAGAAGTCGTGGATGCGCACTGCTGATAAGTCCCATACCAGGACGAAACGGCCGTCCAGTGCTTCTAGGTTTCTAATGTTGGTCTAACAGTGATTGATTGATGATTTCAAATGTGTAAAAATGCAAACCTCCAAAACTCTGCCCCAAAATAATAATAATGTATCCATACTCCAACTCATAGTAGAGATTAGAAGTCATGTTAACTAGAAGTAAAAAAGTCAAATGAAAGTATAATCATCATTATTATCAATCTAGAAGATAGAGAATTAAATGTTCCTTAACACAATCAAAAGTTGATATGTCTACCTTTCATGTTACTGCCAACAAAGTAGATAAATTCATAGGTATCAGTTACATTGGTAAAACAGAAATAAGAGACAATTTTCAATTGAAAGAACACATTACGAAACGTCACAGGTTCAGTAATGCCATCTCATTTTATCTCTTTTATACAGTACATCAAAACGTCTTTCAACTAAGCAATCGAATTGCCATCTTCATAAAAAAAAAACATACGAACTCCAACATTTCTAAAAGACATGACTACTTTTATGAGTTGGTTAGATTATCGGCATTTAGTTGACCCTTTTAAAAAAAAAAGGAAAAAAAAAAACATTTTCGATATGTGGGACAACGTTAAAAGTTAATGGTAGACGATTCGGCTAAAATTAATTTTGTTCTGGGATATTGAATTCCACGACGCACAATCAGAACATAAAGACTGGTGATATCGATTTATTGAACCGGAAATCTAATGTGATTTATCTGCAATCAAGATCAACATTTGGATTTGTATAATTTGAAAGAAAAAAATAAGTAGTATCTATCAATAGTTAACTATTGGCTTACATTTTGAATATACATTTGTAATATCAAACTGACTAATTTCATTGCTTTGGTTTGTCATAACTAGATATTCACAAAAAATGATTCTCACATGAAAAACATTTCTAGTTAGCGGTTGTTTTAGCAAGTTGGTGATCGACTGGATTATGAAGACGTCTGGAGGGAAGCACGGCATCCAATGGACAGTTAGGACGCAGCTGGACGATCTGGACTTCACAGATGACCTGGTTCTTCTATCGCACACGCAACAACAAATGCAAGAGAAGACGACCAGTGTAGCAGCAGCCTCTGCAGCAGCAGTAGGTCTCAACATACATAAAGGAAAAACCAAAATCCACCGAAGCAACACAACATGCAACAACCAAATCACTCTTGATGGAGATGTCTTGGAAGACATTAACACCTTTACATATCTGGGCAGCATCATCGACGAGAAAGGTGGATCGGATGCAGATGTGAGGGCACGGAGTGGAAAGGCAAGGGCTGCATATGTACAGTTGAAGAATATCTGGAACTCCAAACAACTGTCATCCAAAACCAAAATCAGCATATTCAATACAAATGTCAAGATATTTCTACTGTATGGAGCGGAAACATGGAGAATTACGAAAGCCATCATCCAGAAGATACAAGTATTTATTAACAGCTGTCTACGCAAAATACTTCGGATTCGTTGGCCAGACAACATCAGCAAAAACTTACTGTGGGAGAGAACAAACCAGATTCCAGTGGAGAAGGAAATCAGAAAGAAGTGGTGGAAGTGGGTAGGACACACACTGCGTAAACCACCCAACTGCGTCACAATACAAGCTCTCACATGGAAAAACGGGAGGCCAAGGAACACATTACGCCGAGAAATAGAGAAAGATATGAGAAGAATGAACAAAATTTGGACAGAAGTGGAAAGGGAAGCCCAGGACAGAGTTGGTTGGAGAAGACTGGTGGGCGGCCTATTCTCCATTGGGGTTAACAGGCGTAAGTAAGTAAGTAAATTAGTAAGTGGTTTTCTACGGCTTGGGTTGGCTAACCCCATACCCGACCGAACCTTCACCTTTATCTTGACTCAAAACTGGCAGTAACCCCTAAAAGGCTGTTAAATGAAGTTCACATGAAACACGATATTCATTTATTATATAATACTGAAGAATTTGTTTCGATAATTTTCTTCTCTGAGAAGCTGCACTCAATAACTTAACAATAATCCTTATAAAAAAAATATGTAATTTTTAAATATCATAGCTTCACTAATTCATGTTCAAATAAAAACAGCGCATTCTTCAGTTATAGCAATTGAAAGAAACAATGCATTTTGATTCAACTGTAACTTTCAAGAGTAATGCAACTTTTCTGTATGAAGCTCATCTATCAATTAGTGAAAAGGTTAAATTAAAAATAAGTAAATAACACATGATGTACACACAAATGTGATGTACATATGTACATTTGTTTTGTTCAAAAAATAAACATTCACTTTTTTGACCTAATTTATTTAATGAATGAATGAATGAATGAACAATAATTAACAAAAGTCTACTATGGTAACCATATACCAACTATATTAACACTCTTCATTTGTCAGTCACAAGTTAACTAGGTAATGTTTTTTGTTTTGTAAAGCATCTGAAGTAATAATAATAATAATAATAATAATAATAAATTTCATTTTATCACGTTTACCTAGTGTTATGAATTAATCAGTCAGTCAGTCAGATACAACGTAGAAGTTCGTACGTACGTACATTAGATCAACTTGACATACCACATTAGCACACAAAGATGGAATTGTCAATTCAAATTCCATAAGTAGTAGTAGAGATAATACAAGTATTAACAGTAATTGGAGAGATGCCGCTTCGAACATATTATACATGAAGTAGAATCTAGTGACAAGAACTTTAAGAGAAAAAGA